GAGCCTGCTGTGATTATGGGCTTCGCAGCCCAGAGCGTTGCAGTTTTCAAAAGAAAACAGAAGCGCGATCGCGCCGCTTGGCACTCAAACGGTTAAATAATATACAAATTAATTGAAAATATTACTCGAATTTTCTTAGACATTTACACTTACGTTCAAAGCGTCAAAACCTTCTTTTGTTATGAGCCCAATATCTTGTAAATGTTTCAATCAAATAAATTTGTTATTTTAGAATTCAACCGACTAATAGTTTGATAATTTGCTTTTAATTTCTTTCTATTTGACTCATAAAAATGTCTCACAGCTTTGTAAGCATCTTCTAACGTGAAATCTTCTGGGCGAAGGTCACCGATGTAACGTATCTTTTTGGGACGCTTGTAACTGGAAATAGGGGCTAGCGACTCATTTGTTCTGCAAATATATAAGTAGAGAGTTAAATACGTACACACAGAACTAAACAAATGCGCAACATTTCTTCATTATCAATGCATATATCAAGTAGATTGCTAGTTACCTTAATTCCTTTTTTTCATTATTACTTTCACAATTGTATACTGGAGAACATAAATTACTTTCATCACTATTTTCTGTATCCGTATCGCTTATAATTTCCATTAATGAAGTTGACATCTGTTCGTGTGACTCGATTTGTTCATCATCATGATTATCCAATCTAATAAAAAGCAATATGTCAATTAAAAACGGTTACTTAAACAAAAATGAGTATGCGACATTTTTATTTTTGTTTAATCAAGTTTTACTGCATGGTTACTTATATTTTATACCTTTTGTTGCTTTTTGATTCACTGTCTTCGTGATTTGGTTGAGGCAGTGAATTTGTGTCAATATTGCCCGTTTTTTCAGCTTCTGATGTAGCAGTTATCTGTTCATTTTCACAATCATGTTGTGCACTGCAAGAAATATACAATAATTTTTTTATAATAAATAAATGAAAACATCACCATCTCGTGTATATTTACCAAGAATTATTAATATCTGAACTTTCAATAAAAGGTACTGCTTCAGCAGCTAAAGTTTTGATAACTTTGCTTTCGATTACTTTATATACAAAATCTGATTTCTTAAAATGCAAACTACACACTTTACTTGTTTTGGCAACTTGATTGCATTTAAATATTGCAAACCAACGTTTTTTACGCTCTTCATCAGCTGGAAAACTATACAATTTTATTTTTAATTAAAACTGTGTCAAATGTTTACATTTATTTTTAAATCTAACCTAAAACTTAAAATATTTTAAGATCCATCAAATTAATTACCTATGAAATGACACCTCTTTCCTTACACCTTTTGACAACTTACAAATTATACAGTAGGCAACCATTATTAATAAACATTTAGTCCACTAATAAAATAAGAGTTAAGCCGTAATCACTACACATGTACGCGTGACCACGTAGTAGCACACACGCTGTCTTCTGCATAACGCCGGAGAGCCGCATTCTCCTCCGACTCCCCACTCGTACCCCATGGGACCTCTCCTACATCTATATATACGACGTCGCGGCAGCCAATTCCATATATGCTAAAAAGAGACAAGAATGCCAAGCTCTTTCCCCCACCACAGAGATGTTGTCCTCAAAGCAAAGCATTAGCTGCGCGGTCTATTATATAGTGTGGGATTCCTACATCCATGCTATATAACAGTCCGTCATACTCTTGGTTATACAATCAACGTATGCGCAGAAGAAAATTGAACCTCAAATTTCCTAGCCCTGTCGCAACTGTATGTGATTAAACTGTAGTGTTAACGAGTAGCAACGAATTTCCAATCGAATCAATCGCAATGCTATCAATGTACTAGGGAAAATGTTCCCTACACTAATCAGATTTCTAAACTGTCTGTAGGATAATTGGATTGAGGCGGATGAAGAACTTGCAAGAATATTTACAAATATTTACTCATTTCGTATAAAATAAATATAGAAAAAGAAATAAAAATTAGGCATGTACTTTATAATTTTTATAATAACTAACATTATCCTGAAAATGTAATGAATAAATAGATGAATTTATATTTTATTTGAATATGTTAGAAAAACAGAGTATAACTTATAGAGTATAACTTAAGTTTCAATCGTTAACACATTAACTGTCACGTCAGTCACCAGTGACTGATGCTGAACTTTCCGTTCGGGCCGCGTTAATCACCGGTGAAGTAAAATACGATATAAAACTAAAAAAACTACATAGTTTTAATAAATTTTAAGTAATTTCGGGATCGTATCTTTAATGTACTTAAATATTTCTCCTCCTCTTCCTCTGATGACGAAAAAGCAACCACTCTACGCCATTTTGTAGCAAAAATAATTTCATTACTATCGCTTTCACACTCTTCGACTGACATTCTCACATTCATGGCTAAAGAAAGATTTTTGTCTGCACTGGACCAAGAACCGCAGAGAACTGAATGAGTATAAGCGTAAAACATTTCTAAAATGTTTATATTGATTTATCGTAACATAAACAGATCCTCGGCCGCAAGCCGATTTCCACGAAATCTTATCTAGCGGGCCAAACGATAAGCAAGACAAAACAGACTTGGCGCTATACGTGTTGAATGAATGTCTATAAGCATTTGGCCCTGCATCGAGTTTCAATCTTAGAAGTGCGCTTGGCATTGCTATACCACAATACTAGCGCACTTTTAAACAGCGCGCGTGGCCTGACGGAGATTTCTTCCGAAATGCGCATGGCAGTTAACGTGTTAATACACGGCTCGGTGACGAAAGTCGCTAAAACAAAAAAAGAAACAATCGTTAACATATGAGTTTGTTAAAATATAATATTTTCAGACAAAATGGAGGTAAAGAAACGTTTGAGCAAGATCAATTTTGTATATTATACAAATATTATACAATTAAAAACAAAATGTAATTATCATGTTATTATCATTTTTAATATTCTAGGTAAAATAATTATGAGTTCTTCTCAACAACGAAACATTTTCATACTTCGTGTGACACGGTACATGTAAAGACATGAAACATATGTTTACACATACATTTTATTAATATAGGCCCGTATTCACAATCGAGTGTGAAGGTTGAATACTTAAGACGATCTTGATCAAGTCAGTCTTATTCAATACAGACTTAGACAATGCATCTTAAGATTAGTAGATTTCATAATCGTGAAATAAGACGATCTTCGTGAAGTAGATTTTACTTAAATAAATCTTATTAGATTTAAGATTGACTTGACGAAGACATACTTAAGACTATGCTTATCTTTGAATCAGCTGTTTCCGTATTATTTCCGTTAGTTCCTCCAATAGAAATGTTGTATTTTAGATACAATTTTCGAAATATTATGTACTATCTAGTGTATGATATTAGCCGTGACTGTTGTCATATATTGCATTTAAATTGTTCACATATATTGTTTGTGGTAAATTCTTAAAAGAATTTTCTTATTTTAGTATAAAAAGTAAAAAAAAAATATATATATATATACATACATATGTGTGTGTGTGTGTGTGTGTGTGTGTGTGTGTGTGTTATATTGGTGAAAATATTTTTTTTATTGCGTATAGCATATATTTTATATGCTCTTTTCAACAGATAACTTATTTATGACTAAGATATATGATGTCATTTTAGTATTTTAATACAAACTAATAATTGAAGGTATTTTTATTACTATGTTATATACCATATCTAAGCGAAGAAGTAATCTAAAGAAGTTTTAAATAATCTCATAGACAAACTTTAAATTCTTTTCATAAAAAAAGATTACCCAGGGCAGCACATATCATTCGTTTATACTATTCTCATACTGAATATTGTAGATATATGTAATATACCAAGAACATCCTTACAATATTTTTCATAGTATTAGGGGGACCGGAAAGTAATGTCGCTTTCTTAAGTTAAATTCACACGACTACATTTTTAACAAGTTTTTATTTCTAATCAACAATATATTCACCTTCGTTATCAACAACCTTTTGCCATCTAGTATACAAATTTTCAATGCCGGAGCGGTAAAAATCAATCAAATCAAATATCGACATGCGCAGAAACGACATTACTTTCCGGTCCCCCTAATATATTATATTTCTTACATTCTCAAGGATACTCAGAAATG